AACTTTTGATGGACGGGATGATAAGCAGAGATCATGAAACGCCAATGAGAATGCAATAGTTGTCAAGTTTACAATACCAGACTCCAAAGTCATATTTTCACAACTACCTAGATATAAGTTGAATTTCCATATAAATATCAAATTTTCTTTGATTGTTACAATGTTACCTATTTATCAAAGTTTGCTACTAAATATACTTTAAAGAACTATTAATAATCACAATACAATACTAATAATAATTAACAATACATTATTATTAAAATTACTTAAAAACGATACAAAATTGTATGTAGGCAATATGTTAATAGATTTTATTATTGATACATTTTGAAAATAACGTAGGTACATTAAAATGTATTAAAACTATATAACTGTTTGGGAAATATTGAAAGACTTCAGAAATCGCAACAATATTTAGGTAAGAATGTAAAATATACTAACAGATAAAAGAAATATTTATTTAACTATTAATCTTTTATACTGAGAATTCAATGTAGGTTAATAGATAATTTATGATTAGTTTAAGATAATTTATTCATGTTTAATTATATTTGATTATATTCAAAAAGGCTTATATTTTTATTTTTAAAACAACATTGAAACAGTTTGATTAATGTTTATATTTGTTTATCATAATAAATATGTTTATACAGGTATTGGTTGTAATAAAATATACGATGTAGTGAGAAAGAGAAAAGGTAATTAAATTTAAAAAAAAATAACAATAAAAGTGTAAAGATAGAATTGTATTATAATATAACTTAATCTAATTAATTCTTAATAAATATTTATATTCGAAAAAAGTTTTATAAAATAAAGTCAACTTTAATTTAAACAGTTCAAATTATGCAAAAAATGCACAAAGTTATAACGATTATCTTTCTAATCAAATAAAGTAAAATGTTTTAATTTATTAAATGATTTTAAAGTCTAATATATTCCTGGTCCCTATAGAAAGCCATAAATCAGTTTCTGATTGACTGCTGACGAGTGTTATACTATTAGACATGATTGTATTTATTATGTATATATCTATAATGATGTTTTACAAAAAAAATCAATAAGCTTTGTATCCAAGCTGTTACATTAAATATTGATTTTCAATCATCCAAAAATGTTACCATACGAAATTAATCTTCATAATTTATTTTTTCTTATAGTGCATGATAATAAGTAATACCTAACTAATAAAGAAAAAATAAACCCATTTTGTTTCCTTGATTAATTTTTCAGATATTTGCAATATCTCATTATCCAATTATTTTAGTAAGCACTTTAAGTTTCCTTCTGTAGTAACTATGTATCCGTTTAGTTCCTTCAAATATTATGTTAGCCTAGCATAGATACGTATAAATGCATAATATTAGGCGCCTATTGAAATAGGAGGTGCTACTCTTCAGAGTTTTGTTGTGTCAATTAATGTTGAAAAAACCTAGTACACTTAGTACTACAGTGGTTATAATAACACTGGGGCTTGCGATGTTAAATTTATTTTTATTTTTAAAGACAAATATAACTTACCGTAACCATCATAATAATATGTTAATGCACTGTTGAATGCGATATTATGATTGACCAACTTCTAATTATAATATATGTATAGACTAATTAAAACTTAACAGAAATAAACATACATCTTTTGTAATCATGATAACCGGAACATATAATTAAAATAAGATAAATCAACAATTATCTTAAGAATTAGAAATCACGTAGTAAGGTGCTTAATTTTGAATATTATATAAGGACTACCTTATACTTACTTTTTTGATAAATGTATCTTAAAATACCTATGTATAAATTTGAGATCTATTAGTATATGTGTGGTGGTCGTAATACGAGTATATGAACCATAGAGTACTTATAACACCACTTATATATTATAATAAAAATCATCAATTGAAGATTTGTAATCAAACTCACAATGAATATTTAAATATTTACCATAAGATAAAGCAGTTTCTATAAATATATTAATAATATGATGTCTCTTTATGACATAGGCACACTAGACCTAATTTCATAGTCATGATTTTTTTACATGGGATAAATTAAATTGTTCTCCTTTATTTTTCTCTCACACACATACACATTTCATTTGTCTTGTTAAATGAACTTTGGACGACAGCTTTTGAGATTCACAAAGGGATTTCGTGCTTTACACCGCGGAACGGATGTGATGGGGAAATTGCGTCGTCTTGAGTTGGATTACCGGTTATTACCATCTATAGTCCATTAGTCTTATTTAAAAATTGCACTATAACTCTTTTATCAATTATAATCTTGAATCGCATTGTCGTCTCCACAGGGCAGAAAGAAAACACTTTTAGCCTAGGATCATCTTCGTTGAACCGTGACACCAAGTATTTAAAATCGAATTTAGCTGTTTTATAGTTTGTATTATCTTTCTTCCTCGCACCCCTGTTTCTGTTATTATTGTGACGAATGTTAAGCACCGATAAACGCCAATAATTCGTCTCCATTGAAGGGGCTTATTCAAATAGCCTGATGAATAAGCCATAAGCGTGTTCCATATTTTATTAATAAATATATAGGTATTATTAATGTGGTATCTGAGTTATCACTATGTATTTATTATTTTTCAAGTATCTTCGGAGGAACAGATCTTACTCGTTATTTATTGGTTCTAAAATATCAACATTGACGACGATAATAATCGGTGATAACAATGATACGCTTGGATAGTTCAATTAATAACATGTCATAAATATTGTTACAATAGAATTATTTTTTCTAACAATTTTAAATCTTTTAACAGTTGGTTCTGATTTGTACACTTAAGTATCTGGAGAAAGCAAATTACATTGGTTTCCATTCAAAAAATGTTTTTTTTATTATTTTGCAATACTATAAGAAGTTCATATAAAACTTTTAGGGCCGATGCACAAGTCCTTTTTTGCGGCTGAGGTTCCCCGAGTGTTTGAATGCAAAGAATGTGTGCAGCGCCGTATGACATAGGAACTGCATAATTTGATCACATATTACTTACGCCCTATTTACGGTGCTAAAGTTGAAAAAAACCAGCACGTGTGCATCAAGCCGTAAACTCTAGAAATTAGGACTCAAAATCAAACATTCTTAAGATGGTTAAAACTTTTATTTTTTAATACCTAATAAATGTTAATATACCTAAGTAATGATATGGATTATTTTCCAGTGACCTAATATTTAATAACGAGCAAACAATATGAAAGTTAAAAATATATAATATAGGTTCAAACAATTATTGAATATAAAAAACAAACCTTTTATGGGTACATACTGTTATTTTCTATAGTTGTTTATACTAAAATCATTGAAAATGTTAATAGTTAAAACATTTGTAGGTACATTAGATGTTTGAAATAATGAGCTATAAACACTGCTCAAATCGAAGTGACTTTATCTAAATTTGTATTCATAGTTATAAACGGTGGATTTAAGTTTGAAGTTTTCAAGCTTTAATTTTTTAACAATTTATCAACCTCCAGCTACGCCTACAATGTGGAATAAGAAGTATTAATAAACGATACACTGGAAGGTCTAGTTTATTATAGTTTAAAACAATTTTTTTTTTTTTTTATAAATTTAATATAAAATAGGTACCTATTTATAAAGTGTATAGAAGAAAAAGTAAATATATTATTTATTATAATTTTATCTTTTTCTTTGAATAATAACAATAAGGTTATTGCAACATCACAAGTTAGTACATCAACATTTACAATAATAAATACAATATTGCAGCATCCCCGGTAAGGTTAGCTTGTCTGTACCTTTTAAAATTCGTACAAAATATATTGTACATTGAATATTGTTCATAATATTTTTGAAAATGTATGTTAAAGTTTAACTACTCATTATTTAAATTGAAATTGTTTTGTTAGAAATAATATGAATATCCATTTTGATATTGAATATTTAGTTTGGAATAAGTGAGATATAGCGTCACTTTAATTGAATTAAATTTATAAATTAAAATAATTATGTAATAATCATGTAAAAAATAATAGTTTTAAATTTCGAAATTATTGTAGATTTTACTAATATGTTATATTATTATGTATTTTTAATACACTTACTGGTACAACAAGTCAACATCGAATAGTTCCAATAAACTTTTTTTTGGACTTTTTTGAACTCGAAACTAAAAAAAAAATTCATGTCTAAAATTAATCTATAATGAAATGAGAGTAAATAAAACAAATATTAGGAATCAAACAGATCATTTTTTTTTTGTATCACGAACTTGAACCTAAAATCCTATTAGTTCATAAACGACCTCGCTGCAAGATTGTTTATTTTCAAAAGCTGCAAATCACTAAGAACTACGAAAGAAGTTTCACTTCATACGCGCGTATTTCCACACACACACACATGGTATTTTTTAATAAAAGTTACTTTTATACTTTTTCAATAGGAGAACATCGATGTTACTTAACCATTACCGCCCAATGACTTATTGTGTTTTTTTATGAACAAATTTTAATTTATTTTACTATGAATAATTTATGTATATATATGCGTATATTTTGCATGGATACTAGTACACATTATTTTATCTGCAATTTATATTGTATTTATTATTTAGTTAAGGTAAAATAATACAGTCTAGTACTCCAGTCTTAATAACTTAATACTCAAGGAGAGTACAATTAAATTTGACTTATGTATTTCTAGAGTTACACATCTCAAACATTACTTAATAATAAAAAATGGCAAAACAAATTAGAATTATTGAGGTTTTTGAGTTATCGAATGTCGATTGTAATAATAGTATATAATTAACTACGTTAAAATATTTAAATATTTGTCGATCCATTTTTTTTGACTAAATTACATGATGTCTAGCAGTTCACAATAGAATTGTAAAAACAATTATTAATCAAATACCATTTGAATACTTATTAGTTATTTTGTATACAAAATATATATTATTTATTTATTGTATTTTAATTTATAGATATAAAGTAATATATGTATTTATAAATCTTTTTTAGATAAAAATATATGGAAAAGTTATGGAAATAGACGTGTAACAGGTAATTCATATTTTTTTATTACATTAATAAATAATGATACAGCTATATTATTTAATTTGTAAATAAGTATAATAATATAATATATTTGTCATAAACACTAATAGTATATTATGGCCCACGTGGTAATCCAGAATATAATTTCAATTTTTTAAAATCAGATAAATTTTATGCAAAATTTACTGTATTTTTCGGTTTGAAAAAGTTTCTAAAAGTGGTAATACATTATGTGACATTAGAGTCCAAATGGAGCGATGAACAAATTGATTTTACAATGATATTAGTGTTATTTTTTTTTTTTTATTTCTGTACTATGTCATCACCGTTTGGAGCAGGAATAATGTCTCAATCTTCAACTTTGAAGGTATTTCTTGAATTCCTAACTTTCGGTAGACAAAGCAAACAATTCCCCATACTTTTCGAGAATAATCGAGGAAAACTAAAACGAGTTATGTATGGTAAGGTGGAACCAATAAGGGAAAATTTGTCATTTCCTTATAATTCATCATAGATATCTACTATTTTTGATAATTGTTTATAGAGCTATTTTCTAGACATAACAACATTTTTAACATATTTCATCACGTTTTATGCTAGGTATTTATAGACAGTTAAAATCTTGGACATTTTTTAAATTTATGTTGAAAAGTAAAAAATCTTTAAAATTTAATACAAGGTTCATACTAGTTCATAATATTCTTTTAGCAATATAGGTACAATTTAAAAAGAAATATTGAAATTATATAATCAACATTTTTAATTATTTATTAGGTTGTTTGCAATAGTTTTTCATATGCAGAGATTTTTAGTTGAATTCAAATTTAACACATTCATTACAGTGACACACTTAATGCCGAGTCAATTATACTCAAAATCTCTAAAACATTAGTGCGATTTCCCCAGTCTTTTTATTTCGGTTATTATTCGAATTGAATACTTATTCATTCAACTTTAAACGTTTTATATTGAGAATTTAGAGATTTTTACCTCTTTGAAGTTAAAATATACATATTATGGGTAGCTGGTATAGGTTTGCCAAAGGTCAATTGTATTTTTTTTTTAATATTGTTTTAATTGGGTGTTTTTATAAAAAATATATAGTTTGAGTGCATTGAAATTTCAATGTCCTTTTGGTGTAAAACTCACACATCTGTATGTTTTGTGAAAAAAAGGAAAATAATAATAATAAAAATCCCTTGGGATAAACATACTAAATAAACTTACTATTTGTAACATTTATGTAATGATGGAAGTCAACGATTATTATACTTTCAAACGACTGTAAAATGTGAAATATATACAAACATATACATTGTATGTAAATCTATATAATATTATGGTTACCTAGGTTAACTTAGGTTTTTTATCTAGGTATAACGTCTAATATAGTACAAGTGTACTCCAATTTAATCATAGAAATAAAAAATGTATTCATACTATTCTCAGAAAATAAGGAAGTTTCAAAATTATTCGTTAAAAATATAGAATACAATACTCGTGTATACGCATCAAGGTATTATATACATATATATTACTTATTATTATTGATATTATTATCGTTCAGTATATTTTACAGTTTATTATGATGGCATGTAATTTAAATATATGCAAATATTATAGTCAATCATTAAGATTTTTGATAAATATGAAAATTTTAATAAATATATTCAATACTTCCTTTAAAAAAAAGAAAAATGTTAATCACTAATTTGTATTGAAAACTTTTATTATGATAATTAAGTTACTATTTATCATTATTTTATTAACCGATATTATATTGTATTTCTAAATAATTATTACATTGTATCACTAAGTTGAGTGAAGTGTTCATGTCTTAACTTTAAATTAACCACAGTTAAGAAAAAAAAAATTATTTTTAGTTACTATTTAAGAAGTCCATTCAAATTAATGACTAGAATGACATTAAGAAAACACTTAGATATTATGTTAAACCAACTTAGACACCTACTAAAAATTAATTATTATTTTTGAATACCTATATATACATTTTTCTATTTTTAAGTACTGTTTACTCATTAATTTGTTAAACTCATATACATTTTATAGTAATACATTGTGGTAAGATCGAAATAATATATTATATACATCTAGTAATTTATATTTATACAATTCCATATAATAATACAAAAATCTAAAGTTTTAAGTAACACATTTTTTGGTTTCACTGTTTCATAATATATATAGTGAAAATTACAGTGGTTTGAAATTAACTGTACTTGATTTAAGGTGAAATGTGTGATTTATACTTAGATTATGATAATCCAAAAGGATACACATGTCTCAGAGCAAATACGTATGCCATTAACAGCAAATGGAATTAAATTAACCCATAGGGTTCCATATGAAATCGCATGCCATACTATATTTTAAGATATAATATAAAGAAACACAAGTCGAAACACATATATGTTCATTGTTGAAAATTATCTCAGAACTGTGAAAAATAGTTTGTACTATTCATAATTTTCATCTATTTAAGTTCCACTCTCATCTCAAGTGAAGATACTCGAGTCATATATTGTTCAAATATAATATAGTGATGCACCAGCAAATTCCACAATTGTAAACGAACTATATTATATTTTATGAATATATTAAAACCGTATTCAGATGAATCTAATGTTCTCAGTCATATTAATATCTTAAGATATGTCACATGATTCATATGTGTCAGGTACAGCTGGTAGGGTCGGTGAAAAGAGCAGTATTATCTGAGGATATTTTAGGTACGAGATAGGAGCTAAATTAAAAATATGAATCGTTTTATCTATTTACATTTCATAAAAAAAAAACTATACTTAAACTATTTACCAATTTTAGATATAATTGGTTAAGAATAGGTCAAATAATTGTTTATGAATAACCTATTTAAAGACAACATTAATACAGGTACAATTATTTGTAACTGAAAACCATTTTTGTTTAGAGGAATTATGTTCAGAGATGTTTAACTAAAAAACTCACAACAATTAAGTTGGTCATTTTCATATGGTTAGAATAAATGCCAATAAAACAATACTTTAATACATATTATTTTTGAGACACAAGACAATTTTAAAGTTGTACTTAAATAGTTTGAGTTTGAAACGTTTATGACAATTTATTGCGTTTTGTTGCACGTTTAAAATGCATATATGTTTGCATTATATAAACATGATTATATATGTACGTTTAATTGCATTCACTTCAATTTAGTAATATACATATATACGAATTTTGTTTCTTGTACCCCAAAAATAAGGGGACAGTAAATTGACGTATTGTTTTTATATTTTTAACATATGATGAGGATTTCTAAGATGAATAGATTGTCTATGAGTAGATTTTAGTGGCTATAGTAAGTTTGATATGACAGGTAATCTATTATAAAACGTTTTTGTTTCTTCGTTAGTTTATTTTGTATGGAGGTTGTATATGTCCGTTTAGGATTTAGTAATAAATTATTTTATTGATACAGAATTAGTTTGTATGCCTATTTATGATGATTTAATAATTATTGTGTATATTAAAAAAAAAATAGAACTATCAGACAAATGATTCAAACAATAAAAAATATTTAAGAATTACATAATATAAAAATATTTATCTATTTCACGTGTAATCAGTATAGAGCAAAAATTGTATTTACCATTAAATTTTGTTCTTATTTATAGAATAATTACTACTTATCCAATAAAATACATTGACTTTTAGTTGCATACAAAATTATGGAACTGAAATGCAATTCATATTGTTCACATTTATTCGTCCGTATAAATTAAAGTAACTTCAGACCTGAATTCGTAGTAAAAGGATGCAATAAACTATAAATATCTATATAATCTCTGTAGGATGGTATATAATATAATATTATATAATATGTGATATGTATAAATAAATAAAAATGGATATTACAACGATTATACATATATATCATATACACCATACAGACATTACATAGGTAGGTATAGGTGCTGAACTTTTATGGTCACTCATACAAAGTATGGTTTTCGCAGCTTTATCTCTAGCAAAAGTGTCCCAAAAACTCTAAGCCATACATCATTAGTGCTATACAGGGCCGGTCACGCCCACCAACAATCCATTCTCTCGGTATCTGCCATCCCTTCCTCAGGTGTTTTCAGCCTGACATTTCTAAAAGTATTTTTCATTCATATTCACTATATTATAATATATTCCAGCAGTTCTCTTGTTATTATTACGTCAGTTAGGTACATGACGTATAATATACTCGTTAACAACCGTCAACCACTGTTTAATCATGGAATGCGCATATCACTAATGACTATACAAAGAATGAACAAAATTGAGTTCAAAATCTGTCTTTTTTGTTTTTTTTTTTTAAGAAAAATTATATTCATTAAGAGTATTACTGTTTGTAATCCGACTAAAATTACCGGGCGGTCATAATCTTTGGTTTTATTACAAAAGAATAATAACTAGCCGCGTCGTTACCAGACGACTAATAAAAGAGAAGACTTAAGAATGCTCAAAGATCTTAAACCAAAGCAGAGATAAAATTGGCGTAGACTGCATAAGTCTAATTTTTTGATGTTTATATATATTTTTGTTTTGTTTTTATTTTATTCTTTTGAGTTTTGACGCATATTATGGCAGTAAAAACATAAAATATTTCTTAAGAAAAAGCTTACACTATGTACATGTAGTTCATATCACGTTTCATTTATGTATACAATGTGTTCATAAGTTTCATTTAAGTCCTTTTTGTGTGTTAAACATCAAAAAATGCAAACACGCATTTTCTAAGATGTATTGGTTTAAAAAAAATGTTCAACGTTGGTGAAAAATTATTAATGTTGTTTGAAAGTCAATTTTATTTAACATGTATGGTTTTTACATTTGGGTTATAACTTCTGTGTATTACTGAAACTTTACAGATACAAATGTCACTGACAATTGTTGTACATTTTTTCAGCACATTATTAACATCAAGTGCCTACTTTTTTATTGTGTACTAAAAAAGG